AATTTGTATTTTGTTTCAAAAATTAATATTTGTTTTTCTCATTTTGCTTTTGTTGTTGCTTGTTGTTTGATAAGCTGTTGTACAGTATCTAGTTAGATGTTGTAGATGTTAAGTAGTTGCTGCTACTTGTTTCTTCCTTTAAACTGTTCTGATACTGCTCTTTAATATAACTTGTAATACGATTTGATACGTCTTGTGTCTTTGTGTTTCTTTTCTTTATTTATTGTTGTTTCCATTTGTTTCTTTTTTTATATGTATAGAATATGCCAACAATTTTAATTTTTTCCCTTGTTTGTGGTTGTGTATTCAGTTTTTGTGTTCTGTTCCTATAGATTATTCCCAATTTAGTCTTTTTTGTGTTTCTATAATTTACATTTGCTTGTTCTATTGTATTTTGTTGTTTCACTTTCCGTTCAACATTAGTTTATTCTTGTTTCTTATTGTTTCTCTTTGTGTTTCTTATTGTACAGAGCACTATCGAATAGTGTGACAATGTTGATATCATTTATCAATACTAAAAACAATGTCACAATTTTGAAATGAATCCACCTGATACTAACACTCAGAATTTAATTTTAATAAACTACTCTGTATGTGTTTAATAAGGAAATTAAGTATGATTAAATGCTAATTTATACGGAATATTTTAAAAGAAAAAGGAAAAAAAGAAAAAATCAAAAGACAAAAACAGAAAAGAAAATCAAAAAAGAAAAGGGACATCAAACCAATGTCACCTAAAAATTGATGTCAATGTTATAAAAATGATATTAAAATGACACAATTTAAATGACATTGTCGTGACAATGTCAATAGTTATTATGATTGTTAATTTTATTAAAAAAAGTCAAAAGAATGTCCTAAAAATGTATTAAAATGTCATAAAACGTATAAAAATGTCACCGGATTAAGAAAATGTCACAATGGAAATATCATTGTCGATATTATAAAATGACATTGTAATTATGACGATGTTATTTTTATAAAAAAAAAGTCACAATGTCGAAAAAATGTCATAATGTCAATCAATCACAATGACAATGTCATAAAAATGTCATACAAATGTCAATGATAATGTCATAAGAATGTCAATGACAATATCATAAAAATATCAATGACAATATAATAAGAATGTCAAAAATAACTTTGACAACACATACCCTTTCACCAACAATTCCAGAGAAGGCTACAGGTTATAATCAATGTCACAACATATATCACCTAAATCCAAAAGAGGCCATACCAATGAGTAACAACAACTTTCCAGTAACATCCAAACAAAAACTAGCTAAGAGAACACTCCTAAATAAGGTTAAGGAGAATTTCAAAAGTCAATCATATTAGATGGATAAATTTTATACAATCTTGTATGTTAGAAACTAAATTTCAGCTAGTAAACTCTTAACATCAGCCACCGTTCCTTAAAAAACTTTCAGATTTCTGGCCTTCCAAGTTCCAAATACTATGAATGATGCAGCAGGAGGAAACCAACCTTACTGCTTTGCTCCTCATTTTGGCCCCTTTGAACTCTTTTTTTACAGCATTTAATTACACTTTCAAGAGTTGAATTCAATCTCCTTATTCCCGCCAAAGCACATATTGCCCTCTATATCCCATTAGTAACCCAACAACTGGAAAAAAAGATGCTCAATGCGATGACTAACCTGAATAAAAAATACTTCAAGTTGAAAAAAAAAACATGAAAATCAAGAAAAGAAGCAAGCAAAAACCAGACCCCAAACAACAACGAAGTCCGTTAGGGTTTGCCTTCAGCCCCTCGAGTCATATCTAGACTAGTCCACCGGTGACTTGTTCCAATCCAGTCAACCGACAACGTCTACCAGTCCCCTAATGAGCGTCGTCAATGATATCTTCGATTCGGCCGGTCAAGCTAGTGTATGAGCTAATGTAGCTAGTTGTAATCGGGTCGTCCTTCGTGTTCTGGAGGAAGAGAGAGGAGAAGGACAGGGGAGATCTGGAGGAGAAGAAGAAAAAAGGCCCAAAGACAGCTGCCTCCGCTGCACCTTGTCATCATCAGCCATCATCAGCACCATCTCTGATGTTTTGCACGGAGTAGAGCCACCAAGCTCCTATGTTTCATTGCGGAAGAAGATCGATCGAAGAGGAAGCCAGTTGATGTTAGACGAGAAAGAGTGTAAGCCGTAACGGGAGGGATACATTAATAAGGGTATATAAGTCTAAGCATGTAAAAAGAGTCCTATTTAGGTATATAAAAAGCGGAGGTCTTATTTAAGTACACGGATGATTTTTTGGTCCTATTGACAACCATTTCTCAATCGTAAAAGGTCCACATATTAGTAGAGTACGTGGCTCGGGATCATATATAATACTCCCTCTGTATCTATTTACTTGACTCGTTTGCTTTTTTACGTAGTTTAAGATAATTACTGTAGATTATATGAGAAGTAAGAGGTTTTGGTACTGTAGTGATACTGTAGCGGTACTGTAGCTGCTTTTTGAGTGAGTTTATTTCCAAAAAGGGAAATGAGACAATTAATTTGATACGTCCCAAAAAGGAAAGTGAGACAAGTAAATAGATACAGAGGGAGTAATTTATTAGTTCATATTTTATCCGTGTTAGAAATACGTATACATCCCTGACCTCCTCATCACCAGATATTTCATCTGAGTCACATCATCATGCATTTTTCATCGGATAATAGTAATCGTCGTCATTTTTCATAACTGCATGATTATTGATCATTTTAAATCAACCTGATAAGAGAAGCAACTCATATCAAACAAATCAATTTGGGTATATCTTATGCGGTACGTAGTACTACATTCTTCTCAAATTAATTACTCCGTATCTTGTTTTCTTTTGTACACATATTAATAAAGTTGTTGAAAAAGTAAACAATGTGGTTAAGATTTTAGTAGAAAAGGTGAAGTGGTGTAGACCATGTATTTTATCAAACATGGAAACATGTCGATTATTAATTCATATACGGAGTATATTTTATCGGTGTGAGAAATACTTGAACACGCCTCATGATCAGACACTTCTTTTGGTTCGTGTCATCTTTCTTTTTTCATCGGATCGTCATAATCATTTTCATTTCCATAGGACCCCACACCATTGCTCCGATCGATTTGGCTAGCTTTATATTGGAACCCACAATATACGGCGCGTGTTCTATATTGGTTTGATAGTAAATTTTATTAATGAATGTGTCTCGTTATTATTAATAACTACTCTCGATGAATTGGAGATACTCTACGATTGAATATTCGAGAGAAAGATAGTTAAAGATATAACCGCGATCGACGAACATTTCATTAAGTGGACATAAACAAAACCAAGTCTCAATCTCTATTTTATAAACCACATAAGTCGTTCATCTTAGTGTTAAAATTAATTAAATTGAACCAATCCTTAAAAAAAACCTTGTTACTATTTCATTAAAAGTAAAGTATTCCTTTCTCTGTGAATACGAATCTTGCTACGATATACTACAGTATTAGTGTGAGTATTGTATTTATTTTAAGGCACACACCGACTTTAGTGTCATCACTTGTCTGGTCTGGTCTGGTAAATTTCTGGTCTATGATCTGTGTATTTTATAACTGTCCAAGTCTGGTCTGATCTGATCTGAGTTTGTACTTAAAATGTAAAATTATAGAAGTATTTGCCACAACGATAAATTATGAGGAAAATGTCAAATTAGTACCCTCAGTTGTCTATACTAGCATTAGGAGTACATCATCTTGCAATCGATACAACAAAGTACCTAAACATGATTATTTTGTGTTCATTAAGTACAACTTTAAATGTAACGTTAAAAGAAGCATAAATAGAAAGGATTAACCGTTTATCTTATACTTTTAAATCCCAGTCGTCTAATATTCACTTATATTAAAGATACCTAATTATAATTTGATATTCACGGATTTTGTCACGGATTTTTCCGTGACAAGCCTTCATGGTGACAAACCCAAAATATCTGTGACAAAGCTCGTGACAACTTTGTCACGGACCGGATCCGTGACAAACTTCTGTGACAAACGAGCTGTTTTTGTAGTGCTTTGTTCATTGTATTTATTTCTCACATAATTTTGAATCAATAGGATTAATTCTATGTATATGTTCTCATTTATTAGACCAGCGTACTTCCTTCCTATCAGCTCCCTGTTTAATCTTCCTCAGACGTTTTTTATAGTTTGATACATTTACCGTTTTACATATACTTATTTATGTATGTATTTATTGTTTTGTTCATTTCTGATGCTTACCGCAATTTGTAATACTAACATGGAGTGATGCAGATGGATTATATGTACGTTTAGTTCATCTAGGTTGAATAGAAACATTTGTAATTTATATAAGGTGATGCACGTGATATATAACTAATGATATATTTAGTATATCTGCTTCTTATACACTTTTCATTATTTGTAATGTGAACTCCTTCTGAACAAGCTAGTACACCTACGTTTGGAGGCGTTGCGACGAGTATAATCATTGTGGGGAGGTTTGTTTGTGGGTTTGCTAAATACGACGTCTGGTGGAAGAGAAAGAGTTGTTATGGCGGGAAGAGATAAAAGTGAAAGGGCCTTATGGCCATAAAAAGAGAAAATAATGGGTACAACCCCCGCTCGTTCTTTCTCCCAGATCTGTTTTGAGTCTTTTGATCAATTTCATTTGCTATTGATTGGAATTTGCCTTGATGAAACTATACATATGAGGTGGACTTTTTTCAACCACGTCACCAATAAGTTTATCCAAACCATCATTTCTAACGTTGACATAACAGATATACTTAAGTGACACTAAAAAATCAAGTTGATCGATGTACTTTGAGATCTACTCAATATTATTGTCAATATTAATATTATTGATAATATTAATTATTGGGATATAATTTTATTTATTCCTATTTTAGGAATTACCCCAAGATTATGTTATTGGGATCTACAAAATCCAATCTACTTAATATTATTATCAATATCAACAATAACAACATTAATATAATCATCATAATAGACACATAAAACATGACATACCATCATATTACTACGTATTATTGAAGCATAAATAAATAAGGTAAGATCACAACATAAGTGTTACGTACGTAGTATATTACAAGCGCGAGAGCATAGCAGATATTAAATTGAAATCTAATCGGGGTTGGGACTTGTAGCTAATAATAATAGATTAATAGCGCTACGGCCCCTACTCATGCATTTTTATTTAAGAAATCGGACCTAATTCTTAGTAATTTATGTATATAACATATACTCGTATATGGTATTTGTAGATACTAAAAATCAGGGCTTATATTTAATTAAGACGAGCGACTATTTAATGTAGATAAGGTTCATGCACGCATGAGACAAGTTGAGTGAACAACGCCGCCGGGACTTTGAACTGGGGCAGGGGCTAGGGAAGAAGCATCGACACCGAGTGAAGCCTTACCGGGTGGGCAATTGTGGCCTCTGCCCCCGGGACTCGGGCCGCTGCCGTTGCCAATCGCTCGGAGCCCATTTCCAAGTGGCGGAGCTGATGCGGTAGACCCGCTTCCATTGGCGGCGGCGGCGCCATAGGTTAAAGCAGCTCTACTTCCCTCTGTTGGTTGAACACCAATAAAGGAGAAAAGAAAAGTCAGAATGATAGCGCAGGATGCAACCGACTTTAACTTGTTATAATAAACTCCACCCATTATTGAATATAATACTGCAATAATAGTATATAATGACTCAATTCAATTAGCTTGTTTGCTTTGCTTGTTGATATCCAAAGCAGATACTTGTTCTTAACGTATATATAGACACTAGACAGCTTTCAAGATACTGCGGGCAGAACAGTGTAGCTGATTGGTGAATATTCCAAAAAGAAAAGTAAAAAAAAAACGTCACAGACGACCTTATTGGACGACCTCACTTCACCACCCTCATCGTACGTCATCTAGTGTGGGAAAATAAGTCATTTGGTAAGCTGGGACTCCTCCCAGCTAAAATTGTCTCATTTTACTTTTTTGGTCTGCTCAACTAAGATTGTCTCATATCAAATTTGGTAAAATTTGTGTGACTATAAATTATTCTTACTTTACTTTAACTTTATTAATTCAATATCAACCACATAAATCACTTTTTATTGATTTACGTGTCACACACTTTTGTCCAATTGTTAGTGGGACAGAGGAAATATATACTTGGTTTTTCCTCCAAAAAAAATCGCTAAATTGACTTTTCTTGATCAATCATAATCAACTTTTATCAATGATATTTGTGTTAATATTAAATTATTTTGAATATGAAAATTATATCAAAATTATTCTATAAAATTTTCATAATTATTAAAATTATAAAAACTATTATCTAAAGTTTGACATCATTGAACAAGAAAAGTCAATATGACAAATCTTTTCTGGATGGATGTAGTATTTAATTAAGGTAGATTATATGGTACCCATAAGGTACCATACATTTGTCCACATGGACCAATGAGAATGTAGCAGTTGAATTATTTAAATCTAAATTAAAAATGATAAAGTGGTGTGGTCCAATCAAATGAATGGTAGGTACGGTACCTCATTTTTTAGAAAGGTACCGGAGTTGTCACCTTTAATTAATTCTCTTAGATTTCTTAATATTTGTACTATTTTTAATTATATAGTTATAACTACTAGGAAAAACTATCAAATAGACCTCGTACTATAGTCATTATGTTGATTAGGCCCTCGTACCTAAAAAAACATCCAATCAAAATTAAACCTTGAATCAAAAACATCCCACCGGAAATCTGGTTTCCCGGTTGACAACCCGCGTAGCGTCTGTCATGACGTCCGGCGTGTTTTTTTTTTTACATTTTTTTCCTTTTCCCTTTTTTCTCTTTTCTTTTTCTCTTCCCTTCCTCCTTCCCATTCGCAAAGATGAGACTTGCAGGAGAAATTCGAGGTTTGCCTACCGGCCCTACCCCCACCGCCGAGGACTGTGGCTGCCACCGTCCTCGGGAACTGGGACGACAATCTTCGGGGACCGTGGTCTCCATCGTTACGTTGTTTGAGTTCCCCAGATTTTTGGAGTGAGGTGAAGGCGCCGACTAAGTGGAGTGAAGGACGGCACCACAATAATGGAGTGAAGTGGAGCGAAGGGCGAAATCTGAGTGCAGTGTGAAGTCCAGTGGCTGATTGCGGTGAATTCTGGTGGCTGATTGCAGTGAAGTTCGGCTGCAATGTGCAGCAAAATTCGACGGTGGAGTGCAGTGTAACTGTTGGAATAATCTTAAATTTTAATTATTAATTTTTTGGTTTATTTATTTAAGTTATGTTTTAATTAAGATATGGTTTGTTTATCCGTAAATTTTTATTTATTAGTGTCTTGTATTAGTTGATTTGGTCTAATATTTAAGGAGATCTTTTAGGATGTTGAGGAGATGTGGAGCACGTCCAGGAGGTTATTCCATTATGGTTCCTACTTTGTAGCTCTAGACTTTAAAATTTCCTTTAAATACTTTGTATTCCAAGTTTATAAAGGCGAAGGAGAAATGGTTTGCTCTCAATTGTTCTCTATTATGTGTGAGTGTTTCTGCCGTGCTTATAATATGTAAACAACATTTGGTATCAGAGCCTAGATCTAAAGAGCTTGTGATATTCAATGGCATCAAACAATTTCTCCATCTCTATTCCAGTGTTCAAAGGTGATAACTATATTCATGGGCCATCAAAATGAAAGAATACATGAAAGCTCTTATTTTATGGGACGTCATTGAGAGTGACAGTGAGCCTACTCCTCTTCCAGAAAATCCAACAACAGTCCAAATCAAGAAACATGAAGAAGAAATGGCACGAAAGCCAAAGGCACTTTCATGTATTCATGCAGTGGTGTCCGAAGAGATTTTCACAACAATCATGGGTGGTGAGTGTCCTAAAGAAGCATGGGAGAAAATTAAAGAGGAGTTCGAAGGCAACCAACAAACCAAACTCATGCAAATTCTCTGCCTCAAAAGGGAGTTTGAGATGATGGGGATGAAAAGTAACGAAGGTGTCAAAGAATATGGGAATAGGTTGATGTCCACTGTCAATCAAATCAAATTACTTGGGGGAGATTTTTCAAGTCAAAGGGTTGTGGACAAGCTTTTGGTAACGCTTCCGGAGAGATATGAGACTAAGATCTCTTCACTTGAAGATACTAAAGATCTCTCAAAATTAACCGTCAACAAATTAATCAATTCTCTCCATGCCGTTGACCAAAGGAGATCAATGAGGGAAGAAGAAAATGGAGGAAAAAATGAGGGGCTCCTGTTAGCTAAATCCTCATTCTCAAAACGCACTGGCAATAAATTTAAATGCAACCATTTCCATAAGATTGGTCATGAAGAAAAGGATTGTTGGCACAAAGGAAAGCCACAATGCTTCAAATGCAAAAGGTATGGGCATCTGGCAAAGAATTGTAGATTCCAAAATGATGAAGAAGACTTGGCACATTTGATCGAGGCAGAACCTCTCCTTTAGAATTATTGGTGATTATGTGCACCATGGAGAGACGTGCTCTAAAATGTTAATTTTGATGAGACGTGCATCATAATTTGGTGGTGATGAGAAGTGCATCACAGATGAAGAGAAGTGCTTCGTAAATTTAAGATTATGTGGGTGATTGTTGGAATAATCTTAAATTTTAATTATTAATTTTTTGATTTATTTATTTAAGTTATGTTTTAATTAAGATATGGTTTGTTTATCCGTAAATTTTTATTTATTAGTGTCTTGTATTAGTTGATTTGGTCTAATATTTAAGAAGATCTTTTAGGACGTTGAGGAGATGTGGAGCACGTCCAGGAGGTTATTCCATTATGGTTCCTACTTTGTAGCTCTAGACTTTAAAATTTCCTTTAAATACTTTGTATTCCAAGTTTATAAAGGCGAAGGAGAAATGGTTTGCTCTCAATTGTTCTCTATTATGTGTGAGTGTTTCTGCCGTGCTTATAATATGTAAACAACAGTAACAAGAGTCTATTCAAGTCAGGAGCTCATGACCAGAACCGACTTGCGGAATTCACTATTTGGGGAGATTGTCCATAGAATTTTTTGATGAAATATTTTGAGTGTGTTCTTCATCGAGTCTAGTTTATGCCCATTAAATTTGAGCTTAAAGTTTAATTGGGATGTTTTTATTTGGATAGGAATTTTCTGATCTGGTCGGGTCTGGTTTGGTCTGGTAAATGTCTAGTCTCTGTAGTGATGACGGTGATTTTTAATGATGTTATTCCGGTACAGAAATTGCTTCAACTAGAACTAAAACTATGACACAAACTCCAAATAGAACTTGTTATGTTTTTATTCCAAATTGGATCATATTAGTTCTATTGGAAACATACCTATTTTTTCATTTCATTCTTACCCCTCCTTTAAATATGAGTAAAAGGTAGTCAAAAGTCATAATTAAATGTTTTAATTCATATAAATTCCTAAAAATAATAAAAATCGTAGAAAAATAATAAAAAATTAAAAAACAATTATAAAATAAAAAATAGATTTTTTTTTTATTTTTTTGAAATTTAATAAAAAATAGTAAAACTCCATAAAAAAAATTAAAAATTTATGGATGCCTTTCCCACCGCCTGTGCTGCCTCCCTGCACCACCACCTCCGACCGATGTAAAAAATGTCATTTTTTCTAAAAACTGCCATTTTTTCTGAAAATGCCAAAAAATGGCATATTACTCTTTCCCCTGGTGATTGGAGGTGGTGGTGCTGGGGCGGTAGAGGCGGCGGCGATTTTTTTTTTTTTTTTGCATTTTTTTTTTAATTTTTTTTGATTTTTTTTTTAAAAAAATAATTATTATTATGTAATATTTTTATTAATTTTGTAGTATTTTTCACGAATTATTATTATTATTTTTTATTTTATTATGAATTAAAACATTTCAATAGCAACAATGGTATATTTGTCCAACACACACATAATTAGTCATATCAAAATATAGTTTACTTTTTTGTCCTATTTGTGCAAAGTGATCAACTTGTAGTCCTATTTTGACAAATAAACGTATTGATATACTGCACTCAGGGGCGTAGTTGGGAGCAACTTAGGTCCTGGCCCGGTGTCCCACCCATATTTCAATTTTAATTAGATTATTAGGGTAAAAAAGTAAGGAAGTTTCATCTGAATATATGGAAAACATCATGTAAGAAGTGTGTCTTCAACTGAAAACTGTGAAGTTTTCACTTAATTATGGAACAATAAATAAAGTAACTTATAAGAAAACATTATAACTTATAGCTTAACAACACTAAAAAATAGAGCTTCATAGTGATAAATTATGGAAATGTGAGACAAGTGTGAAACTACATTACAATGAGGACAACTAATAGCACATGATACTCTCTATATGTGATTTTTATAGTTATTGAACCATAAATGCATTCAATGCACTTCTTTTCTAAATAACTATTAATTCGTTAAATTTAACTTATAAAGAAAAATATATAACTTTTATCAAAAGTGTAACTGATAAATTGAGTAGACAAGTATGACACTACCATGAAAATAATGAATAAGGGCGTGTTTGCTCCTTCTGAAATTTGTTTTTGCTCCTTCAGGGATCGAGCGGAAACAAATATTTGAGTGTTTGGGTGAAAGCGTATAAGTAGTTATGGGTGCTCCAAATTACTCCTAGAAGAGATTTTTAAAAGCTTGGGGTAGACCTGTCAAAGGTTCAGGTCTAGACCCGAACCCGATCTGAATCTGGCACTTTATTTGAGGGTATAAATCTAAAGTTAGAACCTTTTCTGAATCCGGATCCGAACCCGTTACAAATAGAGAAAATGAGTTGGATATGGATTTTTAAGTTCCGCCCTGTTTTGAACCCGACTCGTGACGATATAATTATAGTTAATAATTTTATATATAGACACACACAATATACATAGAAATATTTAAACATAAAATAAGGAAAATAATCAAATATAAAAAAGTGTTAATAATTGTAGGCTTCGTTATGATTGGCCCAAGGTTTTCCCTAATGAGTTACTGCTCTAGGTGATCTATGAGTTTACTAATATACGTATAACATATAAAATATACTTCATACGGAGTTGTTGAGGTTTATTCCTTCAACCCGCAGGTACAACACGTAACCTGAGAGTTTCGAATGGATGATGGGCAAGTAAATGGAGAAGTAAGCAGGAAATGGGCTTGATAAACTGTGTTTACTCGCTGAAGACTGTTACAGGCCGAAGGGCCGAACGTATAATACTGTGCTACGAACTGATACTATTGCTAGAGTGCTAGAGTACTAAATTGCGAACCCTTTACAGTGAAATAAATGCTAATATTTATATTGCCAATGGGTTGTTGGACACGTTGACGTGGCAGGCTGTGGGCGGCATGATCCCAACCACCAAATCTTCTGCATTAAATGCGCTTCCCGCCAGAATCTTGGTTTCCCGCCATTGAGTGGGGGACGTTCGTCCCCAAGGGCTTGGCCCCTATCTCCTGTTGGAATCCCGATCTCCTATCAATGGGAAAGGGGACATTCGTCCCCATGCACTTGAGCTATCCTTGATCTATTCTTGAGCCGCCCTTGTTGTCCTATCGCGGGGTGGGGACGTTCGTCCCCGTGCACCTCGTAGTGACCCTGGGCCTGAATGCCTGCTGACAGTGGAAACGTATGTCTCCTGGCCCTTGGGCCTTGGTACTGGCTAGTGATGGAGTATGTACGTCCCCTGGCCCTGGTAACTGACCTTCTTCTTGTGCCTTCAGTAGGACGTTCGTAGGAGGTCTTTAAGGGTTGATGGACCGGCCCTTATCGGGCCATTAACCCAACAGGAGTAATTGAGAACAACATTTTTCTTATCTGTATATGATCTCCTCCAATAGGAACAAAAATTTTGCTATGTATTACAGAGTATATTTGTTTGTATATGTCGTTTAGTTTTTTTTTTGCGAGGATACCCGGCCCGGATCCGAGACCCGCTGGACTCTAATCCGGAACATATGTTTAGGACTCGAAGGGTAAATGGGTCCGGATCTGGATAAAAAATTACTCAACGGACATGGATATGGAATTTATAGTTCCGACCTGTATCCGACCCGTTGACAGGCGTAGTTGAGGGAGAAGCAAATCAGAATCAATTTCAAACACTCCCTAACCCTTGATACCCTATACTTTTAATTTTTAGTGAGTCATAAATGCATTAAATACATTTTTTTTCTAATTAATTCGTTAAACGTAACTTCTAAAGCCAAATATATATCATTTACAACATTTAAATTACATTGCATTTTTCAGACGAGGATACACTATCACGCGATTTGCTCTCTCTATATAAGAAAATGTGCATGGTTTAAATCTTACGTAGTAATATGAAGAAATACAAATGAATAAAAATGACTACTTTAAATCTTAATGGTCATATTGATGTGTGTTTAATGTGTACTACTTATTCTATAAAATTTGGAGTACTATTTAAATTCAAAATGAAACTATTAATAAGAAAATGTGCAAAATCATAATAAGAAGGAAAAGAAATAAAAGTTCAAAAAATCAACGTTCTTCAAATGCAAATGATTTTTTACTACAAAAAAACTATAGAAAGGATATACTACGTATTTTTAAACATGGGCCGATATTACCGGTGGGCGTAGCTCAACTGGTAGCAAGGGAGTGTCACAAGGGTTAGGTCACGAGTTCGAATCCCGGCAACTGCGATGAGGGGTTACTATGCTAAAAATGCATAGAGTATCTTCAAGTACCGGGGACAGAGCGATCACTCTCTATCTGTCAGATTGAGATTATAGTCCAATTTACATTCTCTCAACGTATCGTCCGGTCGGGGGTTGAGGGCCTTTGGGATGTGAATGTCATCCGGTGAGTATTTCCAAATTCCAATAGAGAGATGCACTTCTGCGCACTAATAATTGAGTGGAGTTGAGTCCAAGCATTCTGGGCACTACTTGTTGGACACGTACGCTACAAATTCAGCGGTGCTAACTAATTCTACAAAATTTAGATACTCGACCGATCATTTAAGAAGCATTAGAGTACCTTCATTCTCTATTTTTTGCACTATTCGTATATTATATTTTGATTATATTTTATTTATTAATATATTAAAAATTAACTTTTTAAAAATATTATTAAATTCTTCTCATTTTAAATTTTCAAAATCTGAATTTTTTAATTTTTTTATTAATAAGGAATGAAATATATTAATAGTCAAATTTTTGCGTTGTCAAACGTGAAAAGTGAACTGTTGTAATTAAAAAAGAAGGAAAATTTACCTTAATAGTACCAAAACATGGTTTTTTTCCAAAATATGACCAATTAGTTTAAACATTCTTAAATAGGACTTTTTATGTGTGATTGGACGAAAATACCCCCACTGCTGCCAGCCGCCTGCCGCCAGACCTCCGGCCGCCGCCGCCGGAGCACCGCCGGAAAATTCCAAAAAATATCTGGCAGACTGTCAGATTCTGCCGCCGCCGGAGCACCGCCGGAAAATTCAAAAAAAATATCCGGCAGACTGCCAGATTCTGCCGCTGCGGCCTCCGCCGACGCCGGAGTTCTCCGCCGCCGCAATGGTGTTTATCAAAATTTATTGTTTATTTATTGTTTACTTATTGTCTATTTATTGTCTATTTAATGTCTGTTATTTTCTTGCCGCCGCCGGAAACCGCCGCCACTGCCGCTAAGCTGCCGCCACCACTGCCGCCACCACCGTACTGCCCCGTCACCGACGGACTGCCTTGGTTGTGCAAGAAAATTAGGGGGCAATTATTTAAGTCAATTTAATAATCCGCCGCTGCCGCCGAAATCTGTCGCCACTGTCGCCGAGCTACCGCCACCACTGCCGCCGTACTGCCACCAACACTGGATTGCCCCGTCACCGACGGACTGCCTTGGTTGTGCAAGAAAACTCGGGAGGGGGGGGCAATTAATTGAGTTAATTAGTTAATTAATTCAATTAGGGGTAAAAATGGAATGGTTAATCCTATTTAGGGAAAACCAAATATTGAGTCCTATTTTGGAAAAAAGCCT